ATGTATGTTCAATTATGATTCGTTGTTAACACTTGGCTGACTGGTATATTATTGTTGAAAAGTTTGGGGTCAGTAAAATTTTTTTAATTAATTCTATTCAGTAAGGATGCCTTAAATTGATCAAAATTGACTGAAGAAATTTGAATTTGTTGAAAAATAACATATTTTAAAAAATTTATATAAAAAGAGATTTCAAATAAATGCTTTTTTTTGTTTGACATTTTAGTCATCAAAAAAAATTCTGAAAACCATGCATTAGTACAGCAACACAGCTGTTTTCTACACGGATAATAGGAAATGTTTCTTTAAGGACTAAATCAGCATACAAGAATGATTTCTGAAGGATCCTGATGCTAAAAACTGGAATAATGACTGCTGAAAATGTGACATCACAGCAATAAATTACATTTTCAAAAATATTTTACAAAATTTTAATTCTTAATATTTCACAATATTACTGATTTTACTTTGTTCCTTAATCAAATAAATGCAGCCTTTGTGAGCAAATCAAGACTTGTTCAAAAACATTTAAAAAAATGAAGTACATGAGTAGTTTTGCTAGATAATCTCGAAGATGAACAATAACTCCTAAAGTTTTAGTCATGTGACTCCAATGGGCTGTTTTTCTTGTATCTGCTTCTTTTAGGCCGGTGGAGTGTCTGTCCCTAACGTGGATGACCCAGAGGCTTTCCCAGCCCTGGCTTAAGCTGCCAGACGGCACGCTCTGCTCACCCAGGAGGATCACTCCTCCACGGGTCCTTGTCTACGAGGCTTGCATGCTAATGGATCCTTCAGCAGATGAAATGATGGAAGACTGTCATCCATGCCATTCACCCCTGAGGACTGATTTTACCTGTTTTAGAAAAAAAGATGGAAAATTAAAAAAAGGACGGACTTCTTGCTATTCTGAAGCAAATTATTGGTCGAGGTTTTGTATTTAGAAATAAGTTAGCAGGGATGTTTTCATACAGTGTTTCTTTTGTTGTTTCTTTTTTTTCTCAGAAATTATGCATTGTTCATGGATAAGTTTTGTACTGCTGCTTGAAAATATGCATTTCCAAAAATAGGTGTGAAGAGCACACCGGTTTATCTTGAGGTGTACGGTAGCTTGCTTTTTACACGGAAAAGCCTCATAACAAGGCAGCCATTTCAGGTGCAAGATCTACAAGTTAGTCTTTTAATTTGTAAAGGTTACTGCATTTCTAAGGGAAATTACAGAGCATTTTGGTTCTGCTCATTGTTGAATTAAACACCTCGGTTTCCTGAAAGCGGGCCTTGAAACACACTCTGAAATCATTTCGATTAAATGTACAATTTATGATTCACAACTTAATGCCAAGAGGTAGTTCCGATGATTCAGTTGCACTCGCCACAAAAAGTGTCTTTTATCGAATGACCACTGTAAAGTTCAAAATGGTGTCTTTATGCCATTGGCTCTGGTAACTCAGGGTAGTATCATTCGTTACGCAAAGTTCCAGTATAAATACAAGAAGCAAGTTTACACACCACTCCTGTTTACTAAAAAATTTGAGCCAGGTTATGGATAAATCCTGTTAGAAATGACATTTTCTTTCTGCCCCATTGCTTTTACAACAGTTTCCTGCATAACTGGTCTGAAAGAAACCATCCTGTTCAGTGTGGAACAGCTGAGTGATGTGTGAATTCCTACCCTGCTATTAGACCTCTGTCAATAATTAAAAGATAGTCGATTCATACAGAGATGTTGTGTGGACTTTAACTTCAAAGATGAAACCACTTCAAACCCCAAAATCCAATAGTGATACTGGTCCTTATGATATGGTGTAGTATTGGTAAAAATGGTGTCGGAGATAGAGTTTGGCTTAGAAATAATAAGGTCCCAGTTGTAAACACTTAATGCATTAGCCAACATGAGCCTTTTTTTTTTTTGCAGCATGTTTAAAATCTTGGTTAAAGTTGTCAAAATGCAGTTCAGCGTTCTTTTATGTTAGTGCATGATGCATTAGTGTTGACAAATTAAAGTTTTGAATTAAAAAATGTTACATTTTGAAATTAAAATTCATATGTGCTGTAGAAATACTTACTGTATTCAGGTTAACGAGTGGGAACTTCTTGTAAATGAGGTGGTTAATTTGAGTTTACAGTGGACTTGTACTTGCACTCACAAGTCCGTATTTTGCAAAAGCATTTGGCAGCTCGCATTTCCTTTAGAAAATGTTGAAATCTAGTTTATTATTGAGGTTTAGTTTGTAAAATACGCATGAACAGCTATTTGTGACTGACTGGTAAAATGGCTATAGGCCAAAATCATGTTGCCCTCTCTCCTCAGCCCCATTTACCATTTCATTTTAAAGTTGTAGTGACAGTAAACCACACAAATATCCAAAAAAATAACATTTATTTATTTCTTGATGCTTTGACTTTAAAGGTTTACTTGCAAATAAAAACTTTACATTAGGACAGTATTCAGCTGAGCTGATGAAAAACTAATGTGCTGATGGCATGTATTTGTGTCAAACATCTTGCGTTAGAGTAGATACGAGTACTGAGTCTGCCTTGATATTGAAACTTGTGCAATTTTTTCTTGATGTATTGTGAAAGTTGAAAAGTTACAGTTTTAAAGTTAGTGTTGGACAGCTGCTGAGTGTTTTAGTGGAAAGATGGAATTTGTAGAATATGACCTAAAACCTTTACAATTTACATTCGTTAAGTATCCAGCACTCTTGATGGGCTGTTAACAGTCTGTTAGATCATCTGTATTTCAGAGATAAGTAGCTGAGGCAGGCTATGTGTACTTTTTTTTTTTTTTACCTTCAATTTTTTTATTAAAATATAATTTGATCCTCCGGTGAAGCATCAGACTTCTATGCCAGACTTCTCCAAACATTTGGTCCGCTTAAACCAACCACTTCCTTAAAGTCAACTGCAAGCTTGCATTCAGATCTGCTTCCATCCAATCAACAACAGACAGATAGAAGCAAACCCCTGTCATACATTGTGTCCATTTCACTTGGATGTTCATCACAATATGCAAAAAGAAAAATCTTTCGCTATTTGCATTACATTGTGACTTTAAAATGTCCAACATTAGCTTGAGATGCAGGTATGGCTGGGTTTCAGAGCAAGGAGAAAAGGTTTGTCCTTCTGACTGATTATTCTTGGAATGTCCATTGTTATTTTTCAGCATCCGTATGATAGTCACTGTCAGGTCCAATTTTAATGCCTCTTGAGAATCATGTGCAATCCAGAAACTCGCTGCAGTCTATTTTCACTACATCCAGCGTCAGCTTCCCTCCAGTTAAAACCAGGGGCTCCAGGAAAGGGCTGTGTGTGCTTGGGAAGAATTCAAATTCGTCCAAACCAATCTCATCTTCTTCATCTTCCTCTTCTCCTCCACTTATTGCGCCATGAGTGGAGATGTAGTCCTCTGTCATGTCTGTGATCCTGGTGATCTGGGTGGCATCAGAGGAGCTGGACTCCTGAGAGAAACTTTTGATGTAGGTGCAGATGGAGGGATAGGGAACTTCCTCCACCTCCACGTTATCAGGCTCCTCATTCATGCTGGAGTCACATTGGTCTAGGTAGAATTTGATTTCACTCTGTGTGGGAAGGGGAACAGGTGTGTATTGGTTAATGAATTACATTTACAGTTCATATTTACACCATTTTGGCCAACAAATCCAATTCCATTTTAAACCAAATTACAATACTCCAGTAGGTTTGGGGTAATGTGTTTAATGTGTGGAACACAAAATGTGTTTTTGTTGCTGCTTTCATTTTCTTTTTTATATGTAAACACACAGTAGAGCGACATTTTTGAACACTGCACCATGTAAAGTGTTTTTTTTTAGCATTAGTATTTTTTTTTTTTGCTAATGATTTCTGGATCTTTAAAAACGGAACTTGAGACTCTGCCTTCCCCTGTGTCCAAATATGCCTACTTCCCTACTATATAGGAGATAAAAAGGCAAAAAACAGCATATGAAAAGAGTAGTATGTCCAAATACATAGAATTAAAAAGTAGGCAAAATTCTACTTCATTGCCTTCCTCTACTTCATTCATTCTACTTGATGTTCTAAAACAAATTCTTCTGTACTGCTTTTACACAGTTAAATAAACAAAATGTTAATATTGCGTAATTTACATTTTAGTCACAATATTGCCAATTACTTACAAAATACAAATTTTGCTCCGCTTTCAAAAATAGTTCAAAATTAAGTTAAAACAAAATGAATGTTTTTGAACAAATTACTTACGTGAATGATTCAATGACTCACTCATAAAGACAGTCAGCAGTTTTGTTTCTGAATAAATCAGTGTTTTGAATGAATCATTTAAAGGGATAGTTCACCCAAAAAAATTATGTCATTAATTACTCAACATCAAGTCGTTCCAAACCGTAAGACCTTCTTTGATCTTCAGAACACAAATAAGGATATTTTTGATGAAATCCTAGCGCTTTCTGACCCTGCATAGATAGCAACACAACTATCACATTCAATGCCCAGAAAGGTTGTAAGGACATCATTAAAGTAGTCCATGTGACATCAGTCATTCAGCCATAATTTTATGAAGCTATGAGAATACTTTTTGTACACAAAGAAAATGATTCAACGATTTCTTCTCTTTCGTGTCAGTCTTCAACGCGCGTTCATGAGAGTACCACGACAGCCGGCATTCTGACCAAGAACGTCCATCTCCCTTAGTTCATCGTCTGTATATTCTGGTTCAAATAAGTAAGGCTGAGCAAAAAAATGGCAAGTCACCCTGTCTGTCAAAATCTTCAGACATGTTTACGAAGACTGTGCATCATTTTTTGCTTGTAAACAAGGCGCAGAGCATCCGGGTTCTACGTTAGAACGCCAGTTCCTGTGTCAGCAGCACCACATGTATGTCGCGGTACTCTCGTGAACGCGCGTTGAAGACTAACATGGAAGTCATTGTTTTTGTTTTCTCTGTGTACAAAAAGTATTCTTGTAGCTTCATAAAATTACAGTTGAACCACTGATGTCACATGGACTATTTCATCGATGAACTTCCTTTCTTGGCCTTGAACGTGGTAGTTCCCTTGCTGTCTATGCAGGGTCAGAAAGTTCTCGGATTTTATTCAAAAATATCTTAATTTGTGTTCCGAAGATGAATGAAGATCTTACCGGTTTGGAACGACATGATGATGAGTAATTAATGACAGAATTTTCATTTTTGGGTGAACTATACCTGAAAGTAATTGATTTAACAACTCACTCACAAAGTAAGTAACTCAATGATATAACCTGAAGAAAGAGCCACTGAAAAATTCCCACCACTAATGCACAGACTGACAAGCAAGTGGACTGATACAAAGAATGAAAAGTCCCAGTGCTATTGGACTGTATATGAGGGGCCAGGTGCATGAACAAAGCCATTATGTTAAGCATTTGGGTTGGTCACACTACACTTTTCATTCCATTCATGAGAATACTGGAGACTGGAAACACAAGCTCATGCAAAGAAGTTTTGCATTTCAAAGCATTTCAAAGAGTAGGTTGGGTGAACTCTGACCTGCAAATTAGTATCATGTGTGACCAATAGAATATTGATACATCATAGCATGACCTTCTAAAAGAACAAGCTTTAAAGCTGCAAGTTTGTAGCATTGCAGGAGAGTGGAGTAGTGTATTGTTTGGATTTATTACTTTTTGTTATAAGTTGAGTTAATGTTTTTAAAAAAAGACAAGCGTCTGAAGGAATTTATTGTAGTCCAGTGTGACCAACCCTTAAGATATGTCTTAATATTCTTACCAACTAGCAATTAGACAAGGGGTAATCAGTCTTTTTTGTCATCAAATTAGACATTATGCAACTAACTTAAATGATGACCAGCTTGAAAGACTAGTCTGGAAAGTTCATGCAACCGGCTCCAAAACTCTTGCAAGAACACTCAGCCAATCAAACTGAAGGACTAGAATTTATGAATACACGTGAATGAGATTTTAAAGCTGCGGTTTGAGGAAGGGATTATCATTCTTCTGCCATCCTCTTATGTTCCACAGAAAAAAGTCTTACTGGATGAGTAAATGATGATATAATTTTTATGAATTTTCATTTTTGGGTGAACTAGATGTTAACCTAGCCCTTAACCTAGATGCTAAAGCTTGCATTGATGCCCATAAATGCAGTTATAGCTCACTTGTTTTGAAAATACAGGGTGGGTGGGCATTTCCATACATTTACCTGGTCATCAGCGTATGTCTTTGCACATCTGCTGTTTGCTGGATCTGGAATTATAGGCAGCAGACACTGGCAACAGCATAAGAATCTATCGAGCAGAACAGACATGGCAGTGTTTTAAATCACAAAAACAGCCTTTTTGTTTCTGTAGAATTGGAAGCATTCTGCTGATTCTTACCTTTTCTGGACGGAGGTGAACTGACAGAGGCACAGGAGGATTAGACAGCCCAAAAGTACTACTCCACCAGTCAAGATCACAAGGGACAGCATTCTCTCAGCTGAAAGAGGACGTGGTCACTCTTATCAAATGGGTGATAAACATCTTTTTCACAAAAGTGCTTTTTTTTAATGCCAAATATTTGGATTAAAACCCAGCATGTGATTACTAAAATTATTTTTAGTGTTATAATCTACATATATACATACAGTATAATGGTGTGCAGAATGGGAGAGCAGTTCCTTTGGGTCCCTCCCCAGCATCAGTCCAGGCAGTGACCCACAGATTGTAACACTGTCCTGGTGACAGACCGCTGATGACATACTGTCTGTTTGGATGGTCTACACCTGCAGTCAAAGTGTAGCACCACATTAGAAAACTCCTAATATCACAGTTTATGTAGCACTGTTATTGATGAACAACCCAAGTAAGTAGCTGTTTTTTTGTGAAATCTTGGGAGCCAACAGTAAATATTGTATCTGTAAACATTTATCCACCACTTGGTTGTTTAACGGCCTTAAAATAAGATAGGCCTTACTGAAATTGTGAATATCTCCCTTGTCCATCAGGTAGACAGTGTATTTTTTCAAACAGCCTCTTCTCTTCCTTTGAGGGATTTCGGACCATGTCACATTCAAGCTCTCGCTGTTCTTCGAGCAAAGTTGAGGAACTGGACCCTGTTCTGGAGCTGTGAATTCCAAGACAGTGATTATGATAAGGAGAGTCATGCATTTGAAATTATATTCTCACCAGGGCTACATTTATTTTGATTAAAAATACATAAAAAGATCATAGTAATATTTCAGTTTTATTTACATACATATTTCTGTTTTCTATTTTAATATATTTTAAAAATGCTATTTATTCCTGTGATGGAAAAGCAGCCATTACTCCATCTATCAGTGTCACATGGTCCTTCAGAAATCGTTCTAATATGCTGATTTGGTGTTCAAGAAACCCTTCTAATTATTATCAATGCTGAAAATACATCTGTTTAATATTTTTGTGGTAACCATTATTTTTTCAGGCCTCATTGCTGAAAAAAAAAGTTCAAAAGAACAGCATTTATTGAAAATCTAAATCTTTTGTAAATGTTTTTACTGTCACTTTTGATCAATTTAATGTATCATAGCTGAATAAAATTTATTTTCTTTAAATAAATAAATAAATCTTACTGACTCCAAACTTTTGAATGGAATGGAAGTGTTTGTATATACAGTATATACTGATTTAATCCACTTTGATGAAGATTTATGCAGAATGAGCATTAAGAATTAACCTGATTGCCATGTGGAGATGTCTTTAATGGATGCCATTTTGGGACCAGGTGATTGCAGAGCGGTAACTGCACCATCATAGCATTCTTGAGGCTGCAGACCTGGATAGACAGCAGAATAAAAGGTACAAGAAAGAGATAAAGTACTTTTATTACAGTCTGGAAACCAACCAATTTTGATTGTTCTTAACTCATACCATCCAATTAAACTTGCCTGTAATGTGAGCTGTGGTATCCACCACTCTAATCCACTGAATGGCCTCGATGTTTCCAACTGGATACCAATGCACCACATATTCAGGGCTTGCAATGGCAAGCTTGTGCCAGAAGAGGGCAACACTATGATTATTCAATGGCCTGTGTGACAGGAAACCTGAAACCAGACCTGTAAACACAAAAAACACGGCTTAACTTGCTGTATTGACTATATATGCATTGAGTTTAGCGTCTTTTTTATTCAACCACAGTTATTTGGCTCAGCATTGCTAACACTTCAAAAACCACAGACTTACCTGGAAAATGCAGATGAATAAATGTGACAGGAGATTGACCCACTGAGTTAATTGCGGACACTGACACAGAACAATGAGAGCAGCATATTCTCTCATTTCTGCTGGGTGGAACTGCGATGATAGGGTTCCTCATTCTCATTTGCTCCCGAACACTTATATTATACCTCAGAATTTTCCCCTTGGCATCTGATAAATTCAGTTCCTAAAACAAAGTGAACATGAATATAAAAGCAGTCTTTATTAAGCAGTTAAATTTGTCTGAACGCATGCATCTGACCAAAATCTTTGACAGAGTCAGCCATTAATGACATGAGGCACAAACATGACTCTAAAAGAGAGAATTCTCAAATCCATCATTTCCTCTAAGCCCCTACTCAGTTTTTTTGAACATCCACAGACACCTCACTTGAATTGGGGAATTGTTTATATTTAATTAGTGTCCTATTCCAAAACATTAGTTTGGTGCATTGCATGTTAAAGATGCAGGAGAAGGTGAAGTCGGATCCTAAAAGGACTTTTTCACCTTTGCTTGACTTTACAGTGCACACTGTTCCTGCAAGAAGTATAAGTACAGAGGAAGCAACAAAAAATGTCATCACGGGATAGTGCAGGATATGAGCTGTCACATGAAAATGTATATCAATGGCACTATTTTTTTGTTGTTGTATTTTATGTGCTATTTATACACAGTTTTTGCGTGCATATGACACTCACTTTGTTGGCATGCATATAATACGCATTTTGGCGTACATATAATACCCACCTACCCCACATCCCTAAACCTACCAACTGAGTATAATATACACGCCAAAGTCCATTTTTGCGTATAAATAGTACGCCAAATAGAAACAGAAAATCGTGCCATTGAAACGCACATTCATGAGATCTGGTTAGATATTTGCACCAGGGTCGTAACCATCATAGACATTCCTCCGCACTCCCTACTATTCACAACAGTCAATCATTGTATTTATTAATGGTTATTTCTTCAATTATTACATTTTGTCCACCACAATCCTAATAATGTGTTTACATCCTTAGTTTTTAATAGTGTTGTATAAAAACTAAATTAAAACGATGATAAATTCAAATACACAGAAGCCAAATGTTCCACACAAATTTAGCATGTCCAGTTTCAAATCCACATTCTCACGCTGTTCTAAATAATATGTTTTGATATTTAGACCAAATAAAATCTCATGTACAGATGCTTCTTTACCTATAGACACGTAGGGCTGTGCAATATATCGAAATTTCGCAAATGTACATATCGCAATATGCATTTCGCTACAGCTTGCAATATTTGGGGCCATGAACAAAAGACAAAGAGAAAATCACTCACTGCTTTTACCTAAATAACTTTTGTAGCTTAAATAAGAATCAGTGCATATTGAATTCAAAGAGTAAATGCTACGCAGTTTTTTATTTTTCCTTTTTATTATTCAGTTCCTAAACTCATGTTAAAATGACATTTTTATGTAATGCTTGAGTAAAACACTACAGTTCACTTTCATAAGTTGTTGTAGGGGTGCTTTCTTATTAGAATCAGAATCAGAATGAGCTTTATTCACCACTTAAGTGTGCGCAAACACAAGGAATTTGTTGTGGTTTTACAGAAACTCTTGGTACAAACATACATGCATACAAATAACCATATATATATATATATATATGACACGATAGTTATAGAAGTGCACAGAACTGACTCAGCAACAGCTGAGCATGTGGCCCTTTTCATGCATTATCGTATCGCATATCGAATATCGCATTATTGAATGAGTTATCGCATATCGCATATCGCATTTTTCTTCAATATCGCACAGCCCTACGGTTTTGGTCCTAAGGACTCTCTTAGTCATTTAGGCCTATTTTATTTGTACAATAATATTATCCAACATTCAATAAACATGCAACACCACAGACATTTTTTTGAAGTCATGCTGTCAAAGCTACGGTTTTTCTTTAACAACAATCTAGAAATGACAATGACGCAGATAACTTTTTTTGCAATAGGGCTTCATCTTTCTGAGCCTAATTTTATCACTAGCATTGAATAATATTAACCACATTTTATTTTCATGCTTTTTAACGTTTCCAAGACCTTCAAATAACGGGAAAGTGGTTTGTTCCTGGCCCATAAAATTGCCTAAAGAAAATCCCGTAAATAGAAAATAATCAAGTCATACCTCCATGTGCACCTGTAGCCAGGATGAAGCACAACATGAGGAGGACCGACCACGTACATTCAGAAGACATCGAGCTCAGTGCTGAAGATCACACAAACTCACAAGACCCTCTGTGGACAACCATTCATCAGATTTTAAGCGTTGCCTTCCCATTTTACTTCCTTATTCAGAAATTCAAGTCAATCTTTTGACAGGTGGAAAAGAACGTGTTCTACAACAAACGAAGCTATGTAGTTAAGCAGTATACATGTATTATATTACAATAGCAGAGCGTTTGTCACGTCGCGTCAATGTCGCGTAACTTTGAGACTTGGAGACCTGAATGGTTCATCGGTTAAGATAACATTTTCAAAGATTTGGTGGTGTATAACATAGCTGTATAGGCTACTTACCTCTGCCCATGGGACAAAACTGCTCGGTGTGGTCATTTGTGCTGTTTGTGGGTTTTAATGTGGCAGTAGAGCCGTCAAGCGCATCTCCTCCCCTCTCCTGTTGAAGAACTGAGAGCGCGCGACGTCTTGTGTGATTTGCTTGAACTCGAATGAGTAACGAGCGCTAGTGACATCAGTAACTTGTGCACTCTGTACAGCCTACTGTAGGACACAATTAGTCAGGAATGTTTTTATTCATGTCTGTAATCTGAAGTAAACAGATGATAGTAAACATAACGGTCATTACTGTTACGCAGTGCATTTTGAGGTCTGTAAAAACGTTATAACTTGATTATTAACTTGATTAACTTGAACCCCATAGAATGATTTTTATTATTATTTTTTTACCATTATTTTAACCATTTTAAAAATCTGTTTATGAGATTGAAAAACATTTCAGTTAGAAGAATAAAAATGAAAACCATTTTTATTTATAAATTGTCAGTTTTTCATGCCAACCAGTACTGGCAACATCAAACAAACAAACAAATAGGCTACAGGTACAACACCTGTAAAAATAAATAAATGTATTCATATTAATAGGCTACAGTTCATTGTGCACTATGCCTATTTGTACGTTTATTATAATTTTTTTGTGTTTAACTGTATCCAAAGAATACCAAAAGGTATTTACAAGATTCAAAGTGGTCAGTTTAACATTACTATATGATGGGTAGAAAAATGTACTGTAATCCGGAATAAACAGGCTTGATCAACTGACCAGCTAAACCAAATAACAATCATTCGCTCTCTAACAATTAAATAAAGTAACAGATAATCTACAAGCAATGTACACACAAACATTTCATCAATACAATAACATAAACCAGGGAAAACAATACCTGTTTAATCATATGCAATGTATTATTATTTCAAGTTTTTGCGTGAATTTTGGGTTATCCCTCATGTTCTGTTTGGGAAATTTAATAGCACTTTAATAGCTATCTTTAACATAATATTGATGTATATAAAACAATGTTTTAATGAGGTCCCTGGGCCCCCACACAACCAAACATTAAGAATGTCTTCCAAATGTAAAGGATGAAGAGGCTTGGTAATGGTAGAGAAAAAACAAAAACAGCTTTCCCAACCTTGCATATTGGATGTTTTCTCTTATCCAAACCATTTGCTATCAAGTGCAATATTTGGCAGCACTACATTATTTCACGTTACAGTACATGCATGATCATAATCATAAAGGGACAAAATAGGTGCTTTTGTAAGGTCAGACTGCCCACCCACCCTTAAAGTTCCCACACATCATCTCGAAAGGTGTAATTCAGTACCAAAATAATAGAGTGGAATGTTTGTGCAGAAAAGTACTATACGAATGAGTTGATGACGACTCCTCACGTGTGAGATGTTGAACCGTATTCTTAAGGGTGACATGAGAACTTTCTCAGGAAGTTTTAAAACAGCTTTGCGGTGCAGGCGTCTCTGCAGGATGGTGTGTAACCAAAATGAACCTTGTGAGACTCACTGGCTAATGGTATAAATAACATGTCAGGTTAACAAGGTTATACATGTTAAACGCAGCTTTGCAAGTTTTTAATATGTTCTATCCTGCATCTGACTGTGTCAAAGATTAGAAGCAGTTACATTCCCACTGTAAGAATGTATATACTTCAGATTGTATTCATTGGTTGGTTAAATCATTCATAAAGTGATTTGTTTTTTAAACAAGAAAATCTCCCTCTAGAATGTATAAACACTCCAAACTTACCACCATTCCTGTAAACTAGCACTGAAATATAAAGGTGTGGTTCCTGTTCACTGAGTTTTGAAACACCTGCAGTTGTGGTACAAGAAATGTACTAGTTCCTTTAAACTATCATACTTTTCTCCTGAAATCTATATTTAGTGGGCCAGCATACATTCAGGAAGTCCTTTTTGAGCATGAGCAGAATGATATGCATGCACACACACACACACACACACACACACACACACGTCTGGTCTGCTATCCTTGTGGGGACTCTCCATAGGCCTAATGCTTTTTCTACGGTACAGACCATATTTTCTATTGCCCTACACAACCCCTACACCAAAAACCTACCCCTTACTGGAAACTTCCTGCCTTTTTAGATTTTCAAAAAACATTCTGTGTGATTTATTAGCTTGTTTACCCGTGGGGACCTAAATTGAGAATTTAAAATTCTGTGTGTACTCAGGTGTAAGTCCCCACCAGAATAGAAAAACAGGTACACACACACACACACACACATATATATATATATATATTCCATAGATGTAATGGTTTTTATACTGTACAAACTGTATTTTCAATCCCCTTACCCTAACCCTAAAACCTACTACTCACATAAAACTTGTTTCCTCATGGGAATCAACATTTACGTTACTATCCTTGTACTATCCTTATCCTAGGGAATACCAGGTACACACACACACACACACATATATATAGTCTCTCATCCTTTGGTTTGCCTCCGATTATTACATATTCCTTTCACATTTTTAAACCTTTGTTGAATAAATTACTTGTCTTCAGTATTCTTATTTGATCTGATGACCTTTCATCTCAATTTTCATTGAAAAGAAGTACACATTAGCATACCTTTAATGAAATAATTTACTTTAAAATAATATACTTAAGTGCGATATGAATGTAATGTTTTTGGACACTTAATTGCATGTTAATCACAATTAAATTAAATGGTATTAGGGTTTAAATTTAAATTTAATGTAATTAGTTGATGGTAAGAGTGCTTTTTTCACCCACTTAAGTAGGACATTTTATGCACTTTAATTGTATTTGTCTTGACTGCACTTAAGTGTGTAACAAGTGTGTAACATAATCATGAAAGTGTTTAAGGTTTTTTTTGTCAAAATACATTCTCTTAACCAAGTTTACAGTTCATTGACTACTATACATTGAGATGCTGAACTTGCTGAAATTTGTCTTAACAGGTAATGTAAGATCAGGTTTTTGCAGCAAATGTTAACTCTTTACTTTCAAGCACCAGATAACATATAACATACTATAAAGGTAAGTACACTCTTAAAAATAAAGGTGCTTCACGATGCCATAGAAGAACCTTTTTGTCTAAATGGTTCTATAAAGAACCTTTAACATCTGAAGAACCTTTCTGTTTCACAAAAGGTTCTTTGGGGCAAAAGAAGGTTCTTCAGATTATAAAAAGGTAAGAAAGAGGTGGTTCTTTAAAGAACCTTTGACTGAATGGTTCTTTGTGGAACCAAAAATGGTTCTTCTATGGCATCGCTTGAAACACCTTTTGAAGCACCTTTATTTTTAAGAGTGTATAATCTTAAAGGAATTTGCAACAGTTGACAGTGTTTGTGATTCCGCTAGGTGACACTAGTATCGCAAAAACTACATACTTGACCTTTAAGTGGCCTTCTATTTAGGCCTTCTATCTCCAAGTATAGTTTTTTAAATACACTTTTAGAATTTGAAGTACACTACAAGTGCACATTCAGTACAATTAAGCAGAAAAAAGTGCAGTGTGTCATGTGTCTTTTCTTTTGTGTCAAAATAGTATTCAAGAGGAAGAAGTTCCTATGAATAAATCGATCAGCAACATACAGTACAGCTTACTTTAGACACTATCCTCAGAGTGTGCGGAAACCACAAAGTGATTTAGATCGGACTAAAGCCACACTGTATATGCAGACAATATAAAGAAAATAGTCTATCATCACTGAAAAAAACATAATGCTTTATGTACAAGAAGATGTCATGTAAGATCCTGTCTATGTTTGTGTTTATGGCCAAATCACATCCATGCGAATATAGTTCAGATGTACTCTTGCCGCATGATATTTGAGTGCCTAAACCTCTTCTGGAACTGAAAAACTATGGCAAAGCCTTTGTGGGGAGTATGGGCTGGAATTAAAGACAGGCCCTCTGAGGCAGCTCTCCAGGTCATTGGGTAGTACAGTTTGACTTGTGAAAGTGCTCTGGTCTATATCTCCTGTTTCTACAATCCTCTCATTCTCTTCCACTCCTCCATCCTTATTGGAAGCTTTCTTAGGGGGAGCAAGGAGATCTTCAAGAATGCCCAAAGAGCCCAGCGCTCCATCCATAGCTAAGAAGCTATTAAGACGTCCATGTATCACGGGAATACAGGATAAATCCCAACTGAAGTCATGATGTGATGGCGACGCCAAGAAAGGGATTTGGTCCTCCTCCTTTAGCTCCTCATCTGTAGTCTCAGAGAAGTCTTCATTTCTCTGTGAAGCTGTCAATAACTGAGGTTTATAAGGAGAATCAATACAAAATAGATTCGTTGTGGGTGTTTCTGTGACATGAAGCACAGTTGGATAAGAGTCTTGTCTCTCCAAAGACAGACTGACTTCCTCAATGGGAGTTAAGGGAGGATCGTTGTCTCCGGGATGAGCTCCCCAAGGGCCATGGCTGTCATCCTGAGAGCAAAAAAATGGTATTAACAAGTATGGAGATGCAGTATGTACAATGATAATGTAGCTCCTGCAATTCAACCTGTTTTTGCAATAACGGGTGCAATATTGTATCAATTTTAATGCATATCAATATGTTAAAGGATTAGTTCACCCAAAAATGAAACTTCTGTCATTAATTACTCATCCTCATGTCATTCCAAACCCATAAGTCCTTTGTCCATCTTCGGAACACAAATTAAGATATTTTTGATGAAATCAGAGAGCTTTCTGAGCCTCCATAGACAGCAATGCAACTGAAATGTTCCCAGGCCCAGAAAGGTAGCAAGGACATCGGTAAAATAGTCCATGTGACATTAGCTATTCAACTGTAATTTTACAAAGCTACAAGAATAATATTTGTGTGCAAAGAAAACAAAAATAACAACTTTATTCAACAATTCTTCCTTGAATGTATTAGTTCCATTGCTGTCTATAGGAGGGTCAGAAAGTTCTCGGATTTCATCAAAAGTATCTTAATTTGTGTTTCGAAGATGAACAAAGGTCTTATGGGTTTGGAATGACATGAGGGTGAGTAATTAATGACAGAAATTTCATTTTTGGGTGAACTATCTCTTTAAGTACAATCAAGATTATTAGGGGTTGTTCACACAGTTTTCGCATTTCTGGATTCTACTTTTTCCATTCCACTGTTCGTGTGAATCAAATCACTGATGGTTTTAGCTTGTGTGGTCTGCTTTTTCACTCTTTTCTTAACTCTTTTTTACAACCCCATTTCCAATAGTTGTGCATAGCCACTAGTGAGTTATATATTGACAAAAAATAATAAAATAATAGCAACCAAACCTCCATATATAACAGGCATAAACTTTGGGTAAGGCCTCAGAAAGGTTAATAACCACTTCATAACTCTGTTATTGTGTTAAATACGAACATAGGCACTGTTTTACAGTTTCGTATAATCAAAGTTCAGAGGACATGTATAACCATGACATTTCTGCTACTGTGCTTCATAGTGGGGGAAATTCTGGTGGAAAATTTTCTCAAAAATATGAAATGTTTTCTATTTTTGAAAGGTTCCATTTTCAGGCCTTCTGTCCACATGCCAAACAGGACACTGCTTCAATATACTTGTCCAGTTGCTGCTTTTCTCAAATACAATTGATGCCAGCAGATATTCAGCTGTTGAGTTTCTGTGGCCTCCTGAAGTTCAGTATGCTTCAGAAGAGTGAAAATAGAGTAGTTCTATTTAAACGCAACATGCCTGACCTTTGAATTAGAAGGTAACCCCCTCCAACCTCGTGAGCTACTAACAAACCCACATCACAAGATCACTTGTATTGCATGGGTCTTAGAAAAGGCCTCCAAACTCATAATACTGCATGTTGATTATAACATTTAACTAAAATGACCCTGTATAAATAAACACCATTACCTTTAGTAGTTTTATAGCATTGCTGTTATCAAATTTTGGTAGATTTTCGAAAATCCAAGAGACTCCAATGGACATGCACATTTTCATCATTCTGTAAAGAGAGTTTTGAGAAATAAAAGTAAAAGTTAAACATAAACACACACCTAACTTACACAATATTATTACATCCACACTGTCTGTGACTGTAACATTATGAAAGACTACAGGCATGAGCCACATTGTGAAACTACTTGCACAAAAGAAAGTGCAGACACTTAGTAAAACCAAAACCCCCAGTTCAGCACGTCACCTTTGCCGCACACATTTTAGGTACATCAGGTTGGCCAGGATCACCATAGGAACAGCAGCAGCCAAACAAATTCCAGCTATCATTCCACCTGGAAATACATTAAGCACATTAAGATTAACACATGATATAATATTGTTTGAACAATTATGCATTAACTGTTCCTAATATCTTTGAAATGACTTTATAAGTGCATACTCTATGAATAATGCATGAATATTATTCAGTGTCTTGTATGTATGCAAAGATCAAATAACCCATACCCTACAAAATGAGTAATATTGTAGTCAGAATGTGCACTGAACCTTGTGCTGATTCTCTTAAAGGAACAGTATGACTTTCCTTCATCAGTAGAACACAAAAAATATTAAACATGTCTCAGCTTTTTTTATTCATACAATGAAAGTCAGTGTGGTCCAGTTCTGTTTTGGATCTCAATGACTTTCACTCTATGGACAAAAACAGTCTTCGAAATATCTTCTTTTGTGTTCCACAGACAAAGAAAGTTGTACAGTTTTGGAACTACATGAGGATGAGTAAATGAAGATGGAAGAATTAATTTTTTTTCATATAGCAACATCACATCTGCACATCTTTTTTGTCCAATATTGTACTTCCAAACACTCTTCCCCGCCCACTTGTTAATCATTTATGCAGAGACTTTCTGGAAATATCCATGTTTGTATTATTCATTTTGGTAAAACTGTGAATTTAAGGTCAACGTTTCTATACTTAGCTAACCCAACACTACTTTTTTTCCAATGATCTTTGATCCTTCTCATCTATTTCATAAGGAAAGGCACCTGTCTTGTCTGAACCAGTTTTGTATGACAGTTTGCTGTGACAACAGCAAGTGGCAGGTTTTCCTTTGGGCCCTTCACCCGCAGAATTCCATGCAGAGACAAGGATTTCGACACACTCCTGTTGGCCTTGCAGCTCCCAACTCAAACGTCTAGGAAATGCATTAGGCACAGTTTCTGCAAGAACACATAAAACATAAGGAGATGAAGAGTGTTTCCAGGATGTTTCTTTCTGCAGAAAATAATATCAAACATTCATCTGCATGCTGTTTTGGATCTCAATGACTTTCACTCTATGGACAAAAACAGTCTTCGAAATATCTTCTTTTGTGTTCCACAGACAAAGAAAGTTGTACAGTTTTGGAACTACATGAGGATGAGTAAATGAAGATGGAAGAATTAATTTTTTTTTATATAGCAACATCACATGTGCACATCTTTTTTGTCCAATATTGTACTTCCAAACACTCTTCCCCGCCCATTTGTTAATCATTTATGCAGAGACTTTCTGGAAATATCCATGTTTGTATTATTCATTTTGGTAAAACTGTGAATTTAAGGTCAACGTTTCTATACTTAGCTAACCCAACACTACTTTTTTTCCAATGATCTTTGATCCTTCTCATCTATTTCATAAGGAAAGGCACCTGTCTTGTCTGAACCAGTTTTGTATGACAGTTTGCTGTGACAACAGCAAGTGGCAGGTTTTCCTTTGGGCCCTTCACCCGCAGAATTCCATGCAGAGACAAGGATTTCGACACACTCCTGTTGGCCTTGCAGCTCCCAACTCAAACGTCTAGGAAATGCATTAGGCACCTCATATGACACCGAAGACTGGTTTAATGGCTGAAAATTCAGCATGACTATTACAGGAATAAATTACATTTTCAATCACAATAAAATTGAAAACAGTTATTTTAAATAGTTAATATTTTTACTGCATTTTTGATCAAATGCTTTAAATGCAGCCTTGGTGAGAGTAAAATATTTGTAAAAAAATCGTATAGACCTCAAACAGCTGGTTGCTGGCTGGTTATTTAAGATAGCATGTTTTTAGCAGTTTTAAGATGGTTTTTAAGATGGTTTTAGCAGGTTTATGCTTCTCTCTCAACCAAGCTTGCTTTATACTCAGTTTCATATGTTGTTGCATCAGGGTATGACAGACCAAAAAAAAAAAAACTAAGCTGGTTTGAGCTGGTCTGTTGGTTGGCTTTATATGGGGTATTGTGCATTTTTTTAGCTGGTGAAGCTAGTAGATTAGCTGGCCGCCCAGCTAAACTAGTTAAACATTGGCCAGGCTGGAAGTCCAGCTAAAACTAGCAGCTTATGCTTATGCTGGTATAGAATTTTTTTAAAGCATGGACATTGGTTATGGATTTTAAATAATCCACCAATGCAACAAGATATAAAACCTTTTTAAAAACTGGTTCCCATGCTAGTTGCTACTAAAATCCTTAACTTATTTACACTAAATGTTTTGTGGTCATAGTTCTGCAACACACAGAACATCAGTTTTAGACCAGTTATGTAGAAGTGTAGGGGAGTGGGGTTACTGGAAGAGGATGTGAACTCTTTCAGTAAATGGTGGAAAACCCTGCTGTCAAACTGTGGGTGTGACAGTGATGAGTCTCAAACCAAAGACAGGTAAAGTCTTTCCACTCTGCTAAATGCACAAAGGTGCACTGCATCAATTGTGGGGTGAGGTTAAAGACACCTGAGGGGTTGTGAAAAAACAACAAAACAAAAAAAATCATCAGTTTTTATATTGAGACAGTGTTAAGGAACAAACAAAAGTTCTGATTCTGTGTGACAAACCATGTGACTCCTCCCCTCAGGCACACTGACACAAACCACAGCTCAACACACTCACAGACAGCTGTTTTACTCACGGTTCTGAAGAAGTCTCTTGTCTCTTTGTCTCTGGAAGTAAATGGTGTAGTTTGTGATAAATCCCCTTTGTTTATCTTGATTAAGCTCATCCCATTGAATCAAAATCTTTTTTCCCCCTGTATTGGTAATTGATACATCTGGACCAGCTAGAGGCTCTGAAAAAGAAACAATAGAGTAGATTAAGAGATTAAGTGACCCTTCAGTCACTGAGCAGGATTTAAAAATAATAATAATTAAAAACACTTTAACTTTTTAAAATGCTACTGTATTTAATAAATTCATAAACTGACTTCTTTTGACAAATTATCTGTCACTGCCCTCTTGTGGCAATTTAGAGGGAGAGCAGAGATTATTGTAACACTTTTTGTTTACTGCTCTTTTGTTAAAAAAAAGTTTAGCCTAAAACGTCTATGTATCACATTTTCATTTAGACTAAGCTCATGTATAGATGTCTTGTAAATGAACACTTTCTGTGTATCCTACAAAACTAAAAACTAAAAAACATAAAATAATAAACTCCCACCTGTATATATCAAGCTGACAGGTGCAGGTGGGGAGGAACCTGCTGCTGTCACAGCACTGACGTTAACTTCTGCTGCGTTCAGCTGAAGAGTTTGACGAGTGACGTGAGCTGGGCAATTCAGTTCATGGATCTTGCCTTCTTCTTTATAAGATAACTTGTAATGTAACAAATCTCCACTGTAATATTCTGGTGTATAGCGCTGTAAGAAGAAGGAGAAATAAATAGTCATCAAGTGAGTTCATGTTGAGGGCAAAGGCCTGTGATAGTGCCTCCCCCCTATATGACATGATACTGACATTCTTTTTAGTCAGTTCTTTCAATGAACTGAAATGTGGTTCACAAACTGAATTGAGTGATTCATTCTCAGACTGGACTGATCTAGTTCACAAACTCGATTCTTGAGTGAGACGGAGAAATAAAGAGCTAGTTCACCCAAAAATTCTCTTATTATGGTTCATAGTTTAAAAAATGTAAAATATCATTTTTTTCTTACACTCAACTATCATTTAGCTTCAGCAGACACTGATTCAACAATTGTAGTCTTATGGATTACCGTCATGTTTGCTTTGCATGTTTTTTTGTTGTTGCACCAACTATGACCACTTGGCATATTATGGATGCTTTTATAAAAATCTCCACTTGTGTTCCACAGAAGAAAGAAAGTCACATACATCTGGGACAGCTTAAGGGTGAGTAAATGACGAGAGAATTTCCCCATTAATTTTCTGTCTGTTCCTCACATAAATTTATCATGAGTCTTCAAAATTCCTGGAGTACAGTGTACAGACTAATACCTAATGCTCCACAGAAAGGACGTGATATGCACTTTTAAAAATGATGGTTCCAAAGAGGGGTTTTCGAAGCAATACCAAAGAAGATCCCCAAACAATCCTTCAGTAATTGGTTCTTAAAAGAACCACTTTCTAGGACATTTTGATAATCTAAAGAACCTTTTTCCACTATAAAAAATCCCTTTGTCCAATGGAAATGTTCCATGGATGTTAAAGGTTCTTCATAGAACCATTGATTCAAATAAAGAACCTTTATTTTGGGACAACATGAAGGTGAATAAATAATGACATTTTTATGACAAATAGTACTTGGAGTGCATGAATTAATGTGGGCTGCTAAACATGTCAAGCAATGTCAAGAAATGCTAAGTAGTTTATTCACTCACAGAATTGACGCATTTAAGAGATTGATTAAAAGAAAGCTACTTCTGTGAATGACACTAATATTTCAGACCAGAATTTCAGAAAATTAAAATGAATAAGAAATATTTAAGATTTGTGAGTCACTAATCACTAAGAAAATATGTGACAATGACCATACAAACTCTTTTGCGTAAATGGAAATGTTTCGATTTGTAAAAAGAGGTTGACATTTAAGGTGCTATATAATGTAAAGTAACATTCAAAAGTTTGAGGTCAGAGAGATTTTTTTTAAAGAAATTAATACTTGCATTCATTTAATTGATCAAAAGTGACAGTAAAGACTTACTTAAGAAAGTAATGACTTTTAATTTATTTTTACTTTACTTAAAAAGTTAAAATAAATTTAAAATAAATGTTGTTCTTTTGAACATTTTATTCTTTAAAGAATCCTGAAAAAAAGTATCACAGTTTCCACAAAAAGTTGCTTGAGTGCCAAATTATTTCCCTAACATTTAAAAAAATCTTACCAACCCCTAACTGTTTGACAGTAATTTATGTTATACACAGTTTTTCCTATGTTTGAAATCTTTGATTTATCTGTCCAGTAGGTGGTGCTGTTACCTTCCACAACACTGTGACATTCAGAGCTCCATGAGTACTGGTCCTGTTGATGACTCTCCACACATCAAGTTTGTGTGAGGGTGCTAGAACAGATAAAACAATTTTTTTTGTCAAAACAATATGCTGATAAAACACATCGACTAAACTAATGTGAATAAAAAGGAATTACCAATTCCTGGGCTGGTTATATTGAAGGGATGACTCCACATGCTGCAGTTTGTTGAAGTAACACACACTCTCAGCTCAAACTGATAGGGCGTCAACGGTTCTAAGGCTTCCTGCATCAAAATACATCCAGCTTGGAGCTCCTTCACACTTCCCTGGCCCTGATCAAAAACGATAGCAAAAACATCTAATACAGCTAATGGATGGCTTGCTTTCAGAAGAACAGTTCACATAAAAATGAAAATACTCACCCTCAGGACATTCAAGATATAGATGAGTTTTTTCTTCATCAGAACAGATTTGGGGATTTGGAGCATTACATCACTCACCAATGGATCCATTGCAGTGAATGGGTGCCGTCAGAATGAGAGTCCAAACAGCTGATAAAAACATCACAATAATCCACAAGTAATCCACACAACTCCAGTCCATCAATTGACGTCATGGGAAGCAAAAAGCTGCATATTTGTAAGAAACAAATCCATCATTAAGAAACTTTTAACTTTAAACCATTGCTTCTAGCTAAAATATGAGTCCTCTATAGTATTACTTTCTCATCTCGTCTGAATCAGGAGAGAAATATATACAGATCAAGCCCAACACAGTCCAAAACAGTTCTAAACAAATATTTCGGTAGATTTTGATTTTAGAGAACAACATGGGATGAACTTTTTCACTGCAGGAAGTGTTATTATGGATTATGGAAATGACGGCTTAAAATGAAAATGCTTTAATGATGGATTTGTTTCTTACAAACACACAAGGCATTAATTAATTGATTGACTGTAGTCGAAGTAGTGTGGATTATTGTGATTTTATCAGCTGTATGAACTCTCATTCTGACGCCACCTATTCTATGCAGAAGAACAAGTAATGTTAGTCTTTTCCAAACCCAATGTTCCTTTAACCAGAACACATTTTTCACAAATCCTTTTTTTATATAAGAAATCAGTATTTGACTCTCACCCAGTCCTGGTCATCATGTGCTTCTCTGAACCTCAAAATTGGTTTCAAAATATCTTCTGAGCCATTCCAGCATATTGTAGGAGAAAGAGTGCCATTTTCAAACACAGCTCGTGTTATATCTGGAGTGCTTGGAATTACTGAACAAAATCAATGTCAAAAAATGTCAAAACACATGATTCAGCTAAACACATCTATGCACATTTGGTACGTCAAAATTAATACCACTTTCACTGAGTGAAAGAATAAGATTAAACAATCAAGAGCTCATGATATGATCAAAATGAGAAAGTGCTTCAGAAATTAGTAAGTGTTTGTAATTTAGTCTCTTACCAATGTCCCAGATCGAGAAGTTGAAAGTAGAGTGTGACTCTCCTAATGCATTGTGACCTCTTACATGGACTTTATATGTCATGTTCTCAACAAACAGCGATCGTGGAATAGAGACATGGCCGTCTTTGTTCATCGCATACTGGATGAACTGGGATGTGCTGTTGCTTTGCATGGAAGAAAGACATTAAAGAAAGATCAAACACAAGAAAGGCTATTTTGATCTTTAACTATATTTGAAGAAATAAATATATATTTTTTGCAAAGTTTCTATGATATGATAAATATTGGATATATGATAAAGCACCTTGATGTTATCAAACTGTTAAAATAAGAAAATTTGACATACTTACTGAAATGTCACTATGAAATTGGTAAATAAATATGTCTCAGTTGTAACCACTAGAGAGCAGTTAACATATTCCGAATTTTGGTATGTGACGCAGCTGAATTTCGGATTACCTGGAGGGTCTAACGCAGAAAAGGAATTAATAGCTGGATATTCGTAATCAAAATCTGGTTAATTGTACAGAATGTACACAACTAACTAACATTTTTAACCCAATAAGAAACATGTAGGGAATTAACAGGTGATGAATATCACAAATCTCAGAGTTTTGATTCATACATTTTTTATGTATATTTCATGTACATGAATGTCATGTTAATCATTAACATATGTGACCCTGGACCACAAAACTAGTCATAAGGGTCAATTTTTAGATTTATACACCACATGAAAGCTGAATAAATAAGCTTTCCATTGATGTATGGATTGTTAGGATAGGACAATATTTGGCCGAGATACAACTATTTGAAAATCTGGACTCTGAGGGTGCAAAAAATCTAAATACTGAGAAAATCGCCTTTAAAGTTGTCCAAATGAAGTTCTTAGCAATGCATATTACTAATCAAAAATTAAGTTTGAATATATTTACAGTAGGAAATTTACAAAATATCTTCATGGAACATCAATAAGAAACATGTAGGGAATTAACAGTTGATGAATATCACAAATCTCAGAGTTTTGATTCATACATTTTTTATGTATATTTCATGTACATGAATGTCATGTTAATCATTAACATATGTGACCCTGGACCACAAAACTAGTCATAAGGGTCCATTTTTAGATTTATACACCACATGAAAGCTGAATAAATAAGCTTTCCATTGATGTATGGATTGTTAGGATAGGACAATATTTGGCCGAGATACAACTATTTGAAAATCTGGACTCTGAGGGTGCAAAAAATCTAAATACTGAGAAAATCGCCTTTAAAGTTGTCCAAATGAAGTTCTTAGCAATGCATATTACTAATCAAAAATTAAGTTTGAATATATTTACAGTAGGAAATTTACAAAATATCTTCATGGAACATGATCTTTACTTAATATCCTAATGATTTTTGGCATAAAAGAAAAATCTATAATTTTGACCCATACAATGTCTTTTTGGCTATTGCTACAAATATACCCCAGTGACTCTTAAGACTGGTTTTGTGGTCCAGGGTCACATATGTGCAGATGTCTCTTTCTTAAGCTCCTTAAGCTATTTAACCCTTAAAATCAGATTGAATCAGATTGTGTTGAATAAAACCAGAGATTTAAACATAATAATATATTTGTTCTTGCATCTATGATGCAGAGCGTTCGAATACAGATAACATGAACTTACAGCCAGCCTTGAAATCTTGGCCGCAAACAGTGTGCCATGTGTCTCCCTCCTTCACCTTGCAGAGTAGCCAAAATCTGGGCTGATTGATGACTATCTGTGTTTTTATTACAGAGCAATTAATTGTTTCGAAAATGGTCTCTCCATTGAAGACTATGGCAAAGTGTCTCCCACAGTGCTCAGTGTTTGATTGGCAGCCTACAGTCAAGTTGGAGCCCAGGTGGATAACATCTGAATCTACTATCAGCTTTCCAACACAACTGACTCTGTAGCAGTCTGAGCAGAGAGAGAAAACTCTATTCATTTAAAAACATTCCAGTGTAAAACAAATATAATCACAATGACTTTACTCACCGCAGAATTTGCCGCTGAAAAGGAGGAGAAAGACCACCTGCCAGATTCTGATGAAAAAATCCATTTCATGCCTTTCTTGTTCTGGGTTTCTATGATGATCAGTGAATATTTTTCTCCACACTTCATGCCTAGTCCTTAAGCCTCTTCTCCCGTCTTCTCTGTTCTCTCAAATGCATTTGCATGAAGCAAACCAGCATACAGTCAGAACAAAAAGTGGGTTGTCTTCCATACCATCGTCCCTTTTTAAAGATGTCACATAAAACAGGTCACACATCTGTACGTATATCAAAGGCATTAAAAAAACCACCAAGATAGAATGTTACCAGAAAATGATAAGCTTGCAATCTGTGTAAATAGTCAGCATTCTCATGAGCGGTACTTAATGTTACAAGCCTAATCTTTTTATGTCAACCCTGTTTTCTCAGAGTTGCCTTGCTCTTTTAAGGGGCAATGACCTAGATTTGTGGTATTTATGTCTGTTGTGAAACTCTGAAGCGTGTTTCTACATGCGTACTTATTAAACCGCCTTTTTAGTCATCAACAATCGTTAACTGCTATCACACTTAGCTACTCCAGGGGCACAGCATACTGTACAAAAAAATGAAATATGATGATGTTACATTAACTTTAAAGTCATGACTTAAAGAATAATGCTAATTCAAATATAAAACTGAAAAATATGTAGTTCAGTATAATATACATCAAACGGCAGTGTAAGATATGGATATGTCAAAAGAGAAAACCAAACAAACCTTTCCTAATGCACTTTTAAAACGGTGATTTCTCCTCAATTTGGGCTCCTCTCCTGTTTCCATCATAGATTTTCACTAGCTTGATCCACAAGGCTGACAACATCACATAACAAAGGCACGTTTAACGTTAGAGGGATGTGAAAACCAGTGGAGAAAAATAGAACAATGCTCATTAATTGAGTAAATCTTCCTCATGAAGCCCTTTGATGCCTCTCATTAAACATACATTTTACACCTAAACAAGATCTGTTGATATTAAAACATATACTTATTCATAGCTAAAAATGTGAGGCTCTGGAACAACGAAATAAGACCGAATTACCCATGTTCTCCTCACACGTTCCCTCTCACATGTGCTTAGCGTGTGAAAATAACACCACAGAACAGCCTTCCTGTCTGCCCCAGATTTTTGATCTCGTTTAAACTTAGGCTACTTTCCATCTTCATCTTCAAAGTGTTTCTGGGGAAAACCCACTGACATATATAAGGTGAATCTGAGATACAGAGTAATACAAAGAATGCACTAATAACAGTAGATTAATAAGCAGAGGCGTTTATAATAATAATAATATTAATAATAAACAATGAAAACATAAACTCCTGATAAACTGTGAGATCGAGTTATTTACCGTTAAGGTGTGGAAACTGAAAAATGAACCATACACAAGAAAACAATAGGTTAGTGTCAGTCCCACAATTACAGTTTGTGTGAAACTGGCACACTAAACCACAAAGTCAGACCACAAGTATTTAATAAATAAAGAAAGGAGGAAAGAAAGAAAGACATTTAACAATGTCTCATTCATTTGTATGTTAAACTTTATAAATATACCTTAATACCTTTTTCTTTTGTGAATATAAAAAGAGACATTAAAATATACACACTTTTTTGTGTTATTAGCAAAAATTTCCTTCAATAGTTATTCATATCCTTTGTCACTTCAAAGCATTTGATTGCACAGTTGCTGACCTATGATATGACTTTATCTCAGGAGTCATCTGTCTTTAAAGTTAGACTTCTTTAGGATCATTTGAAGTGATGAGAAAGATTCATATACCTACAATATGAATATTATTAAATGGATGATTTATCGGATATCACATTAAAAATAACATCAAAGAGAAAGTTTAAAAGCAACTTAATCATATATATGTCCTCATTTTGTCCTCAAGTGTGCACAAAATGTGGTCTTCTGACCTCAAATCCTTTTTTTTTTTTGAAAAACAGTCAGCACCTTTGAACAACTTCTTTGAACTGTTAATCTGCTTAGAAAATGGAAGCCTATTTAAAATGATTAATTCGGGGGATCAAATGTGGGCTAATAATCATTGTTTTATATTGTCACAATTTTAATGAAACTATGCCTTTAATATTTTTAGCCTGTGTGGTGTGTGTGTGGGTGTGTGTGTGTGTATGTGTGTGTGTGTGTGTGTGTTGTTGTTGTTCTTGTTTTTATTTCATTTCCACACTACACAAAACAAAATCAAATTAATTTAATAACAGCATTATAAACATAGCCTAATAACCCAAAGATAATAAGAAGTAGGCTATATGTGACCGCCTGGACCACAAAATAAGGGTCAATTTTTTGAAATTGAGATTTATACATAATCTGAAAGCAGAGTAAATAAACTTTCCATTGATGTATGGTTTGTTAGGAAAAGACCATATTTAATCTGAGGGTGCAAAAAAATCTAAATATTGAGAAAATAGCCTTTAAAGTTGTTCAAATTAAGTTATTACTAATAAAAAATTAAGTTTTGTTAGCCTAGGCTAGCCTATTTAAGGTAGGAAATTTACAAAATGGAACATGAACATGTTCATGGAACATGATCTTTATTTAATATCCTATTTTTGGCATAAAAGAAAAATCGATTTTTGACCCATACAATGTAATGTTGGCTTTTGCTACAAATATACCCATGCTACTTATGACTGGTTTTGTGGTCCTTGGTCACATATAGCAATGCATAACTTTGATCTTTGAGCCTGAAAGGGGCGTGGTCCTCCTAAGGTGCTATCTTAGTTCATCTAATTCAGGGGTGCCCAAACTCGGTCCTGGAGGGCCGGTGTCCTGCAGAGTTTTGCTCCAACCCCAATTAAACTGAACTGTTAATCTGCTTAGAAAATGGAAGCCTATTTAAAATGATTAATTCGGGGGATCAAATGTGGGCTAATAATCATTGTTTTATATTGTCACAATTTTAATGAAACTATGCCTTTAATATTTTTAGCCTGTGTGGTGTGTGTGTGGGTGTGTGTGTGTGTATGTGTGTGTGTGTGTGTGTGTTGTTGTTGTTCTTGTTTTTATTTCATTTCCACACTACACAAAACAAAATCAAATTAATTTAATAACAGCATTATAAACATAGCCTAATAACCCAAAGATAATAAGAAGTAGGCTATATGTGACCGCCTGGACCACAAAATAAGGGTCAATTTTTTGAAATTGAGATTTATACATAATCTGAAAGCAGAGTAAATAAACTTTCCATTGATGTATGGTTTGTTAGGAAAAGACCATATTTAATCTGAGGGTGCAAAAAAATCTAAATATTGAGAAAATAGCCTTTAAAGTTGTTCAAATTAAGTTATTACTAATAAAAAATTAAGTTTTGTTAGCCTAGGCTAGCCTATTTAAGGTAGGAAATTTACAAAATGGAACATGAACATGTTCATGGAACATGATCTTTATTTAATATCCTATTTTTGGCATAAAAGAAAAATCGATTTTTGACCCATACAATGTAATGTTGGCTTTTGCTACAAATATACCCATGCTACTTATGACTGGTTTTGTGGTCCTTGGTCACATATAGCAATGCATAACTTTGGTCTTTGAGCCTGAAAGGGGCGTGGTCCTCCTAAGGTGCTATCTTAGTTCATCTAATTCAGGGGTGCCCAAACTCGGTCCTGGAGGGCCGGTGTCCTGCAGAGTTTTGCTCCAACCCCAATTAAACACACCTGAACCAACTAATCAAGCTCTTAGACATACTAGAAACTTCGTGGCAGGTGTGTTGAGGCAAGTTGGATCTAAACTCTGCAGGACACCGGCCCTCCAGGACTGAGTTTGGGCACCCCTGATCTAATTCAATTGGCGCTAATATTTCAGACAGCATTTTTGTGTGAAGGTAACTTGTAAGGAAGCTATGGCTCCCAATGCAGCTGCCATTGATGTTCTACAGTAGGCCTACTTGTTTTTCGTTAAGCTGAAAAAAATGGACATTTCTGAAATAATTTTATTCTTTCAATAACTTCATCATTACGCCATGTTAATTTTTTCATTATCCGAATCGCCTGCACAGAATCGTGGGAAATCATACGATGTATGAACAATCATTAACTTTTTTGTATTGCATTCAGCTGTGATCCAACGAAACGGTTAGGGTTTGTTCCCATCACTTACAAACTCTTTAGTTTATTGCACCCATGCCTTGAGGGAGCACCCATCTCATCTTCCATCCAGGGAGCACCCTTGTCCTCCAGGACAAAAAAAGCACCCGTGCACGCTGGGACAACCACAGGGATCACTGCAGGTTCTCCACAACAGAATGAATGAATGAATGAATGAATAAAGAAACTTTCAGGGAGATTCTATTGTATTTCATTTCACTGGATTTGCTATGTTATCCCTTAGGAAAATTAACCATGGTTTTATTGTAGTAACCATGTTTTTTTTTTTTTGGGCTTATTGGTTAATAAACATAGTGAGCTACTACCTGGTTTAAACTATTTAAAATGATGATTATCCAGAATTTGCCTTTGTTTTTTTTTCTTTTAAATGCAAGAAGCCTTAAAATGTGCATGTAAATAGTGTAATTGTAAAATAAATGCGTTTTGTATGGACTAAGGTGAGTCATTGATTTAGAATAATAATGAAAAATCTCACAATCAACACTACATTGCATATGATGGTTTATTTTAAGATAGCTTTCAAATGTAATTATAATGGAAGAAGCATGTAAACAAAAGGCTGTGCTTTCAGTCTTTGCTAAAAACATTATTTCCCAAACAGGTTCCCCTCTTCGATATGTGTTGGCATTGGTCAGGTCGGTTTTCTTTTGTCTGAGAAAAGTTTTACACATTATGTTACAGAGCAGAGCGGCATGTACATGTCATGACTTTACTTTGCAGATGCTGGCAACAGTTGTTGTGTTACGGGTGGGAAAGGCCCTCCGGGTGATCACCTTCCCAGAATTTGATGAAAGCATACCTAGAAAGGTGAGGAATGCTGGCCCTTTAAACTTGTGCGTGTTGTCACTTGTTCTCACGTGTTCTCACCTGTTCTTTCCCCAAAGAATACATGTGCAAGTCTTTTTTTGTTGACATGGGAAAAGATACCCACATGGGCCTGCAAAACAATGCAGCTTTGTAAGTGTTGCTTACAACTTTCTTGTTATGCTTTTTCAATACCTACCTTGTAATTACAGACATTTCCGCTACCTCTTCTATATGTTGGAAATCAAATAACAGGACTCTTTGGGACAAAAAGACTGAAGTATGATCCAGTACATAACAGCTTTAAATATTACATCTGCCTGTTTTGTATTTTATGAATTTGTATCTAATTATGTGGTTTTCCTTCCTTCAGCCTGCCAATGTTTACAGTATTGAGGAGGTTTTCTATTCTCTTCACAATGCTGGCAGAGGGTTTCTTGTTAAAGTAAGTGAAAGT